CTAAACATTTATGTTTTTCATGTTATAATTTGTATTCATTCTAGAATGAAAGAGGCTATATTTATATATATTTCCTAATCTTTTATGGTGGTTACGAGATCAGTCAAATTTACCAAACTCCTACAGAGATTAATTACTGAAAATATAAAGTTTTTTCTTAAGACATGATTGATAACTATCTGGACATTATAAAGATTTTGCATGTGAAATTTCAAAATTTTCTGATGCATAAAAGTATGTTTAATCTTAAAATGAAAATTACTTTGCATGTTAGATAGGCAACATGCAAAAAGAAAAAAAAGGCATGAGAAAAACATTGCTTTGGAAGCCTTAAGACTTAAAAAAAAATTGATATTTTGCATATGAAAGCATTGTAATGTTTACTTATTGATAATGTGCCAAATTTCGTTTAACATTCGCTTACTAATTTAAATTAGTTATAGCATGAAAACTATAACAAGCACAAAATGGTTATGAGGTTGGTCCCAGGGACTGAGCCCGTGCTGAGAGTTAAAAACATGCACACAACTGAAAATAACACAATGATTCTTTTACACAGTTTACATTACTGTAATATAACATAACAACAGAAATATTTCAGTGTGCATTGCATCAACAGGACAGAAATCTTTGTTTTATTACATAAGGATAGATGGTCACGACTGCTGATATATATTTGTGCATTCATGATGATAAGCCTGATAATAAATGTCGCTTTTAAGAATTTTCTAACCAGATGAACTCGAATGGCTTTAATGGCTAAGCAAACATACACAGACACACAAAAATCTTGCACATTATGGTCTGTAGTGAAAACAGCAGACCTGATATGTGACTACAGCCATCTCCTCATCTGAAATAAAAGTTGATGAATGAAACTGACAATACTTGGGTCAAACTTCTCAGAAAATTGTTTGACATCATGTTGCTACCTTTTCCCTACTTCAGATCTTACATTTCATATGTATTTATATTAGTTAGAAAAGTTATAACACAAAATACAAAACTATAAAGAAATTTAACTACATGTAGTGTTAATATATAAATTCATTGCAAACTCATAGAGAAAGAATAAATCTCTATTTCTCTATTCTTATTCCTTTAGATAACAACTCTTTTCATTCTGCAATAGTGATTTGTATTTGATTTAATCACCTCTTTCAGAAAACAGTTATAGGATCCAATACTCACTTATCTGTTTTAAATTATACAAACACTTCACCGATCACTTGGATCTTTTTCAACAAAAAGTGTGTGATCTTGGAAATAGTTGTCAATGTTCATCCTGGAAATATTTGTAGGCTTTCACACTTTTAAACGTTCATAAAGTGTTTACAGAATTAGCTGCTGAAACCATTATCTGATACACACACACACACACACACACACAGAATGCATGTAGTGTCACAGCTATAAATATAAATTGAAAAATAAAGTAATGTCATATAAATTTCTTAGCCAGATTAACCAATATTATTTGCTGCAAAGATAAGAAAATAAAAAACTGTGCATGCTCCTCTCAATGGCTAATTTTTCAAAGTCTCAGGTATGAAGGAGCTCATGTGAAATATATTTTATTAAAAATTATACAGAGGTTCTAAACTGTAATGTATTAAAATTAATTCTGCTACAAACAAAAATAATAAATAAAACAAACAGCTACTAACATGGAGTAACAATCTGCCTTGGTAGTTGGTTATATTTGTCTCCAAGGAATGAAATATCACCAAAAAATGCCCCATCCAATCCTACATGTCCCGTGTGTTTCAGATCACCTTGAGGTCCCGATATCATCTCTGGTCGTATCCTATTGTGAGAAAAACTAATGACAAATACCTTCTGAGAAAGAAATTTTATCTCAAATAAAGTTAAACCCTTTAAATTGATGTTTTACAATACAAACTATAATAATTTGTCAAAACTTAGTAATTAGGAAACCAATCAAACATGACAGGTCAAAATCAACATTTTATAATTGGAAAAACAAAAAATCAAGCAAGTCTACTATAATCTTTACTTATTTCTTTAGGCTATTACTCTCTCCATTGTTCCTCTGCTTAACCTCCAATACTTAGTGGTAATATCATACTAGTCTTATTTTTGTTAGACATTATTGCATATTCTTCTGTATCGCAAACCCTTTATTGTTAGCAAGAATCTTTGGCCTTGTGCCGACCTTACACAGTTTTCAATATTACATGGTCACTATCTCCTTCATTCATAAATCTAGGGTAGAAGGGCAGGAACAAAGAAGTAAAGGTGCTCTAAAAATTTCACTTCACTTCTAAAATTTTTATTTTAAATACAATATCCTCTCTCTGTTTTTACCTACTTTTACAATCCCCCCCCATACTTAAGTTAAAGTGGGAATAAAGGATTAAAGAAGGATTTGTCAGGAAGATGTAGAACTAGTGGATACAAGCCCTTCAAAGACGAAACATAAAACTTAAAACAAAGCCACATGACAGCCTCCAGAGAGGAAACTTGTGCAGGAATGAGGGAATAAGACTCTGAAGAATCATCCCCAATGATGGCCATTCACAGAGGTATGTATATGGCATCGTTGCAATAAAGGCCCACAATGGGCCCTTCACAGATGTATACGTGTCATTTTTGCAATAAAGTCCCACTGATGGGTCCTTCATGTACATATATATATGGCATTGTTGGAAATGAACTCCAAGGCTAAGAGTATCTAATGAGTCACCAAATGCAGAACACCAAAAGTTACGGTTCCAAAACTCACATTTAACTGTTCCTTAAAACAAATTGATTAGGACTCTTAGATATGTATGGACCTAAGGTAATTGTGAATACAGTTTGGATTCCTTCATAAAAACTCCTAGTTCTCATCCTGATATCAACTGTGTACATGGTATACAGAACTAACCAATGGGTCAAGTAATGATGGATATCTATGGCTATTTAAAGGAGAGAAGAAGCCATTGTAAAAATATAAGGTGCAGGTGTCAGAACAAATAAGAACACTAGGAAATAAAAATTACTGATTCTTATGAACAAAACACAGGATGATTAAAAGATTTGTAAAGCCAGTCTGGTTATTATCATATGTTTGTGAGACACAACTAAAATCAGATGTTGACCATTGAACTACAAAATTAAGAGAATATAAACCTATGCCAGAATCAAAAATTACCTTATTAGTCCCCTTAGCCAAAAGGAAAAGAACCTCCTGATGTAAGAAATTGGGATCATTATAAGAGGTGAAGGGCAGTCCAATAATAGCTCTAGGTCCTCTAAATCAAGAGCATTCTTTGCCAAAAACACTTCTCATAGACTTTAGAACTAAGGATTGGGGGCACAACTTTTATCTTTTGCTGTAATAACACTAACTTTTTTAGGGAAACTATTTCCCATTGTCTCCAAATGTTTTTATATGTAGTTTTACTTTTATCTACCAAAACTACCCACAAAAGTATTACTTGAAATTTTAGATGTAATTACTTATATAATATAGTACAGTTTGTATGATGCCACACAGGCCTAATATGTGTCTGGTGTTTTCTCACTACTCATATCACTAGTGTTATTTGTTAAGGAGATGAAATGACAAACTGCATTTTTGTTTTGAGCCAAGCATTGTGTTTGCAAAAATTACAAACAATATTACAAACGATTTTAGGGATATGTTAATATCTTGGTGCATTAATTATTAATGGGAAAGTTTAAGTGGTATCTGCTACTGTAGAAAACTTACTATGTTATATCAAATTGAGTTACCTTGTTAACCTTGCAGGCATCTGTTTAAACAAATCATCTTCAAAAAGTATTTCCGTCACGTAGCAACAAAACAGAGGGACTAACTGCTAGTGTCACTCGCAGCCAGAACAATACAGTTAACACATTTCATTAATCATAAAAATATAGTAAAATGTCCAAAACAACAACGATACAACAGACTTTTATTCTTAAAGAACATGGTATGATACTTGCTTTCTTTCACATCGGCTAATGTTACATATAATTAGCATAGGATATATCTTTTTTTAATCAGAAAATGAAAGGGAGTACTGGCATCGCTTTTGTTGAAAAATAATTTTATTTTCCAATCTCTATTTAGAAAAATTGGTAAACTTACTATCAATTGCTTGTTTAATATCTTGCATGTCAGAAAAAAATTAACCTCTCAAGTTTTGAAGAATTTCAAAATTTATGACTTCTGTTTTGGTAAAAGTACAGTACTTCGTACGAGAGGTTAGTATACCTAGAAAATTAAAAAATTCTGTAATTAAAACAATATAGAAGTTAGACCAAGAGGAAAAATTAAACAATCCTGTGAAAGAAACAATGTAGAGGTTAGGACAAGTGGAAAATTGAAAAAATTCTGTCACAGAAACAATAGTGAGGTTACTTAACCTCTCTATTGTTTCTTTTGCAGGATTGTTTAATTTCCCAATTGGCCTAACCTCTCTATCGTTTCTTTCACAGGATTGTTTAATTTTTCACTTGGCTTAACCTCTCCATTGTTTCTTTCACAGGATTGTTTAATCTTTCACTTGGCTTAACCTCTCCATTGTTTCTTTCACAGGATTGTTTAATTTTTCACTTGGCTTAACCTCTCCATTGTTTCTTTCACAGGATTGTTTAATTTTTCACTTGGCCTAACCTCACTATTGTTTCTGTGACAGAATTTTTTAATTTTTCCAATTGGCCTAACCTCTACATTGTTTCTTTCCCAGGATTGTTTAATTTTTCCTCTTGGTCTCAAGTGGAAAAAATTAAACAGTCCTGTCATCGTAACAATGTAGGTGTTAGGCCAACTGGGAAATTAAACAATGAAAAAATTTCTGAACTAGAAACAAATACAAGTTGGCCTCAGAAAAATAAGCACCACAGTATGGCATAAACAACTTATGTTTAAGCAGCTACAAGTAGTAGGATAGCATATTTGACAAAATAAATTAAAAAATGAAGACATTTTAAATGTTCATAGGAAACACTCATAACCTAAGAAAAGGATACATATACGAATATTTAATGCCTACCTTCGTTTACTGGAATAAAGACCAGCCTTGCTACCTGTACGTGAGAAATTTGGTCTGTTAGTAGGTAAGTTCTGACCCAGGTAAGTGACGGTGTTAGCAGGATTGAAAAGTCCAGTTTTACCACTGTTGAGAACACCTCTCCAGAGATTTGGACAATCAGATAACGGCCTGTTGGTATAAAAATATTTTACTTACACATACATACAGGGTGATTTTGAAGGCAAAGCTCATATTGGATAGGAGAATTTCTGAAAACAATAAGCTATAAGAAAACATCAAAGAGCTAGTCATTACTGTAGCTAAACAATCTAATCATGATTTTATCAGACATTTCTTTGCAGCAATCTTAAAGTCAGCAATTATATAACTTAATTATGTTTCACTTATTTCTGAATGACTGATTCAAGTTACTTTTCTATATAGGATATTCTTCCAAGATGTTTGAATAATTAAATAGTTCTTACTTTTTGTCTAAAACAGTTATTACATCTCCAACTTTATAATGAAGCCAATCTTTTTTAGGCTTAGGTGTTATAGAAGTGTCACTGGAATCTTTCACAGTCTGTAGCTGCTCAGGTTTGCACTAAAGTAAAAATAAATCATATTCTGTATGGATCAAAGTTTATCCTGCTACACAAAAGTTCACTTAAATCCATAACGTTAAAACGTTTTCTCTCTATACCAGTAGGTGGCAGTATTTAAACTATTATACTAACACATTATATATGTTCAAAGTTCTAATCTAAAACAGAAAAGCTAGAATGAAAATAAATATAGGAATCAAAACTAGCAGTTTGTATAGAGTACACATTATAGAGCAGGTGACCACTCATTAGAACTGGATATTGCAAATATAGTGTGACTGACATATCATTATACACTGTTTTTTTTTACTTTTCCCCAGAAGTCACTGTTAATAACCTTTACTACATCAACAGTGGTAAGGATATAAAGTAGCAACAAATTTATCACTGTTATTTCACCTTTACTAAACATACATACATTCTTGACATTTCTATTAAAGAAATTTTTCTTGTAAGTTACAACTAGACAGCTTCATCAAATGAATCATCTGGGGTGTAGTTTGCAAATCTTAACCATCCATAGTATGTATACACACACACACATTTTATATCTGCAAAAAAATATTACATTTTTCTAAAATTCTAATATAGAACAAACTATAAATCTGGTTGAGACCACATTCTAAGTTCAACCTGGTGTATTGCTATCTGTAGGACAACCTGATGGAAGTTATTTGTCCTACTTAACTTTGTGGGAATGTCATTCAACTGTCACAGATATTTTCAGACATGTCAGCCACAGAGAGAAGGTGAATGAATTGTTAATGCAGTTTTAGCTGACTTGTTTCTGTCTTGAGAGA